GTTTGTCATATATGGCTTGTATTATTTTTAGATAAGCCCCATCTATGCCTATGTTGTTAAGCGTTCTTATCATAAAAGGGTGTTGAATTTTGTCAAATGCTTTTTCTGCGTCTATTGAGAGGATCATATGGTCTTTGTTTTTGCTTCTATTTATATGATGAATTACATTTATTCTTTTTTTTGATCTATGTATTTATCATTTTGCTAATATACTGTCATGATTGGGCTACTTTATAGCAAATATTGAAACTGAGTCATATGAATCTGAAAAATTGTTCCTTCATTCTCAAAATTCTTTGGCTATTATAATTCCTTTGCCTTTCCATACAAATTATAGAATCAACTCATTGATATCTACCAAAAAATAAAAAATAAAAACCATGAACATGATGTGTTTCTCCATTTAGATCTTCCTTAATTTCTTTCTTATGTATTTTGTTTTCAGCACACAGATGGTAAACACTTTTTGTTAGATTAATACCTAAATATGTGAATAGAGAGTTTAGTTTCTTTCTTCCTAATTTGTATGCATTTCATTTCTTTTTCTTACTCTATTGCATTAGCTAAACCCTACAATACTATGTTGAACAGGAGTTGTGTCAACCTTCCTGTGTTCCTGATTTTAGGGTGGAAGTATTCAATCTTACACCTTGTGTTTTGAAGCTCTGCTAGGTGCATAGACACTCTGGATTGATATGTCTTCTTGGAGAACTGATCTTTCTATCATTATATAATGTTTTAATTTATACCTGATAACATTCCTTGCTCTGAAGTCAACTTTTATATAGATATAGCAATTCTATCTCTATTTTGCTAGTCTTCATATGGCATATATATTGATATTTAATATCTACTGATATTTGAAGACTTTAAAGTAATCTTACAAAAGAGTTTTAGAAACTATTATAGTTCACAGCTAAGTACTTTGGATCTGTAGTTTATTATGTTGTTAACCCCTAATTTATCGTGATTTCAGAAAATGAATAATACAGAAATCAATTATCTTTGAAATAATGACTATATTTCAGTTTCGAAACTAAGAAGCATATCTTAGAGTTCAATAAACTATATTTCCAAATTTATGTAATTTATTCTTAGCTAACCATTTGGTTAGCTATAATTGGTTAGTTCATTATATGTTCCTATGATTTGTCTTCCCATTCATTTTACTTTTATGTCCACTCTCTGTGCTAGTGAGGAGCCATATTTCAACTGACTTTGATGTATAGATTAATGACCATAGTTTCCATTTATAGTCACAAATACAATTAAAAATACCTACATTTGGGATACTAGGCCAAGCTATCTTAGTTATAAAAATGAAACCCCATCCACCCGCTCCTGGTTGTTTATGCTTTTCTAGGAATTATTTCTTAACAAATAAAATACCAGCTGTGAAAATACCGGAAACGTCTAATGTATTTATATATAGATTGTTAACTTTTCTTGTAACCATATGATTTGTTTTAAGTAGCTAATAAAAATATACCTTTAAAATATAAATTTTATTATTTGTTTCTCCACCCCACAGCTGCAGAAATAACTGTTCAACCAACTGTGGAAGAGGCCTCTGACAACTGCACTCAAGAATGTCTCATCTTGGGCCATTCTGACGCCTGCTGGATGCCGGCGGCTCTGACCCATTCCAGCCCTCCTCAGGCACAGGCCTCTGCTCTATGCCACAGTCCACCTCTGACACAGACCTCTGTTCGTCGCCGCAGCCCGCCAGTGACACAGACCATAGCTCTCTGCCACAGCCCTCCAGTGACCCATGCTATCGCACTGTGCCACAGCCCTCCACCGGTGCAGGCCTCTGTTCTCCACCACAGTCCTCCTCTAGTACAGGCTACAGCACTTTGCCACAGCCCACCACCAGCACAGGCCTCACCTCTCCGGTATAGCCCTCCCCTGGCACAGGCTGCTGCCCTCCATCGCAGCCAGGCCCAGCCACCAATGGGTTTGCAGCAAGGTTGGGTACAAAGTGCTGGAGCTGATGAACTATGCTCTGTTGATCAGGGGGTGCAAGGTAGTGCAAGATCCCAGTTTTATACCATGTCTGAAAGACTTCATTCCAGTAATGATTCAATGAAAGTCATCCCCTTGACAACCTTCAAACCAGGCCAACAGGCTAGATCCTCTAGGGGTGATTCTCCCATTATGGAAGAACATCCCTTGTAAAGCTAAAATGGCTATTTCACATTTTCACACAGTATGTATATAGTCAAAGTTTAAGACCCAATTTCAGTGAATATTCCAAATTGTTAGGTTTGTAAATAGTTATGTAAATAGAAACAGATACCAGAATAAGTCTAGAGCTAAATCCTTAGTCAAAAGTTAAAAATAGGTTGACAATTTGGTTTAATTCAGAATATATATTTAAAAAGAAAAGAAATTTAAAAAATCACATTCCCTTGTACAGAAAGGCTTATCATGGCAGAAATTAATATGTAGTATATACTATTTCTGATGTACTATTAATTTATTTTATGTTTTGACTACCATGTGACATATTACTGATTTTTTTTTCCATTTTGATTTTTGTGGACCCAGTCCATAGCAAATGGAAAGCCTACAGATATCTGATTTTCCAAATTTACTTTTAGTTTATCTAAACTTTTGTTCAGGTAACATTAGAAGGCATAAGTACTGTAGCATTTTTTTTTTGTCTTTTTGTTTGATTTTTGTTTGTTGTTTGTCTCTAGGTTTTTTGTTGTTAGTGTTTTTGCCTTCAAAAATGCACAGTAGGGAGTGTAAATAACTCTTACAGTTTTTGTCTCTGTTCCTATTTTTTATGTTTTCTACCTCTATTCCAAGAATATATTCTTCATATAATTTATATGTGCATTTTCAGTAAAAAAAACATGTAAAAACTGTACAGATCTAGGTCTATAACCTATTTCTCTACTCTTTAGTAGAGTTCGAGACACTGATGTGCAATAGCTGTGCCCAAATTAGTCAACTATTTGCTAAAAAGGGCCACTTTTTAAAAAAAAAATACCTTTGTAGTTTATTATAAAGTACATCAGAAATAAAACTGTATCTGCCATTTTAGGCCTATATTCCATTATTCATCAGGTCTTTACCTTCTAGAATTTGTATGTAACAGCCTAGAAAATCACAAGGAATGTGGATGAATTCGACACATGGCTCATTTACAGCTATGACTGTAAACTGCTATTTTCTAGAGAAAATCAAGATTTTAATGTTGATTTGACAGTTCAATAGGCTGTTACTGAAAGATGTTCAGTAAAAGAACAAACAAATAAATATAACTGTAAATAAACCATATACTAAACCTATAAGACTAAGGGATTTTTGTCATTGTAGCTCAACTTACTGAAGAAAACCACAAGATTAAAATCAGGAAGAAACTTTTCAAGAGACATAATTATAATCTACTTCAAATGTATTACAGTGTTGAATTTCAAGGAGATGTGCAGAGGGAGAAATAAAGTTCATGACTGCTTCTTGGGGTTGATAAGAAATACCCCAATACCACACACCAAAAAAACCAACAAAATCTCACATATGAAACAAAATATGTCCTTCTAAGAAAAGAATACAGTAGTATTCATAGGAAACATCAGTTTCCTTCTGTTGTCTGTTCTTCGTTTTCTGCTTTTATCCTCTCGACTGGCCATTATTTTCTATGTGCACATTTCATAAATTTACAAAACACCACCAACTTAGTTTTCCTCCATAGCAAAACTAAAAAAGAATGTCTTGTTTCAGTATTACACTAAACCAAGAGACAATTGATGTTTTGGGGTGGGGGGGAATGAATATGTCTTATTGATTAAATTAGATGTAGACTTTGCAATGTGTAACTTGGAAATATATAATTTGTGATTAAATTGTGTATAAATGTTGTAATATACACTGTGGTAATTGTATAATTTCATTGGTGAAGGTTTCCTCTGAACGTTAAGAAAGCTTCTCTTCATGTGCCCGGCAGGTTAAGTAGCGTTTTGAGAAGATATTGTTCCCATTCATTGTAAAGCTCTTTAAATCATATTTGATTTGGTGTGTAGAATAACTTCCTAACTTTTAACTACTACTGTTTAATTTGTGAAATTTCAAATTAATTAATATTTTTTAAAAATCTTTTTTGTTTGTTAATGTTCTAAGGGATTCGGAGCATAGTGGTTTTCCAGGTGCATGCGAATCCTGAAGGACTGATGATGTTTGAAAGTTTATTGAAATATGATTATGTATATGTGTTGCTATTGTTGTTGTTATTGTTGTTGATGAAGATTTTAAACCTGGGTATGACAAAGAAACCCAGAATGACAAAATCAGTGCTTCCAGTAGCTTGTGAATGTTTTTGCTCTCAAAAAACTTGAAAAGATTATGTGAGAATTTTTTCTTCTATTTGAATTATTTCAACATTTTTCCTTTCCACACCTTTAGTTATGATCTACGCACATAAACACACACACACAAATTTAAAGGAGATAAAAAGTAAAAGATTATTAAATAATTTGTCAAGAATCTGAATGGTTATTATCTATGTTAATGGGAAATCAGACTAGGAACCAGAGTTAGATGTTTGGGAATTTTTTCTGATAGTATGATTTATTGAGTTATTAGGAAGGCTCTCAAATCCTCATATCTAAAAATTGGCGAAGTTTTGATACCTTTCCTAAAGACATAGGAATGAACAAATACGCTTTTATTGCCCTTTCTAACTCTGATTTTATAATCAGATTTAGACTGTGTTTAGAATATTAAATGACTGGGCACCCTCTTCTGGGTTTGTACCAGAGAGGCTTTGACTGGAAGCAGGCTTGGAGTAGCCAAAGAGGCAAGGGGTGTGAGCCCAGTTATTCTCCCCTATGCATTCTCTTTCTAAGCTTCCATTAGGTCTGGCCTTGGAAACCTGTAACTTCCAGGGTTTCAGATTTGATGAGATCTTTCTCATCACATTACAAATTCTTTCTTTGAATGGATGGAGAGAGCTATAGGATGACAAACCTCACAGGTGGTTCTTTTGATGTGCAAAAAATGTAGTCCTGGAACTGCAGAATGTCTTTACAATCAATCAAAAAATATTTCCCTTGAAAAAAGAAAGATTTGATTTGTTTTGAAGTGAAAACTTCAAATTGACTGATTTGTATGATGATAACATGTTCAATCTGACTGGTTATTCTGTTCTGTGGCCATATTGAATTATATTGTGATTATCAATTTTCTAGCTATAGTGTTAATATATCACATTTGTAAGTATGTGTTAAAACACTGTGTATCTTATATGCTAAGTACATACACATCCTTTTCTTGAACTTTATCTTCAAGTTTTAAGTAATACTGTGTCAGTGTATTAAAAACTAGCTTTTACATATGATACCACCAATGTAATATATTTAGAGAGTACTTTTTGTGTAGTCTCGTTTAGTTATTTAACGTTCTATTTTTAATTAAGTAAATTTGGTTAGAAAAAATGATTATTAAATGGTTAGTGTTATTGTGTAATGGTGACAGTTATGAAGAGCCTCTGCCTTCCAAACTAATATTTGTCACACACTTTAATTAAAATAGGAAAAAATAGATTTAAAAAATCTCAGATTGTGCAGTCCTTAAAATGTAATCATGTCACAGCAAAAGAAATCCTTTTCAATCCTAGGAAAATTAAGCGAGTTTTAGTAACATGCGTATTTCAACATTACTGTTTTTGTTTTGTATATTAAGGTTGAAGGTACATATATCTCCTAATATACATTTAGGAAAACGTACTTGTTTAGGCTTTGGTTTCTTTACATTCTTATT